CTATGGAAGTTCTGTCCCTTCTGTGTAATTTTTCTGGAAGCCTAAAACAGCTCTAAAAAATGCAGTCTTTAATTTTGTTAAAAACAATTATATGTATATGTATATATTATTTATATGTAATATGTATATATGTATATGAATATATATAAAATATATACTACATATAATTAAATCTGTATATATTTATATAAAATAATTGTCTTTAAACAAAGTTAATATATGTATGTGTATTTGTGTATGTATATATGTGTATTAATATGTATGTATATATTTATGTATGTGTGTATTTGTATATATGTATATGTGTGTGCTCATTGTGTATTTGTATATGTGTGTATGTGTGTACTTATGTATGTGTGCATAGTGTGTTTTCATGTACACATGTATGTATGTGTTTGTATGTATGTGTATATATGTATACATAGGTGTTCGTGTGTGTCTGTGTAGAGATATACAGCAAGCACTGGGGGGAGATTGAAATGGTTGAGCTTCCTTAGAGAGCTGTTTGTCAGTATCTTGTAAAGTTAGCATACCTCTTCCCCACAGTTTAGCCCTTCTGCTTCTAGGGTGCCTTACGGCAGATGCACCCACCGGGTGAGGGATGAGGGTGTGAGAAGATGGGGTGCATTGCTGCCTTCCCTCCGTTTTCTTTCTTACAGTTTCCACTTTCATCGCCATGACACACGTGCAGTGTGAACAAAGGGCGTGGGGCACAGCTGGTGGCCCGCTCTGGGGGCATCTGGTGCAGCTGAGCGGGGGCCTCTGCTTCGTGCACATGCGCACACAATGTAAAGCCAAGCGCGTTAGCCTGAGGAGGGGGGCGATCTGAGGATCAAGTTTCATAGAAATGAATTCATTTTTCCTTATTCTACAGCCACACCTTTGATGTTTTCCTGCTTCCCACTAGGTCAGTCTTATATTTGAGCCATATTCTTTAATAATAAATGTTGACTTTGTCTTCAACACATGAAAAACGAGTGTTTAAATAATAGATCGTTTGTTTAAGCTTTAAATTACAGATGCAATGAGTAGTCACAAAGCAGAGATGTGTTTGAAAATAATGTAAAGATTACATTAATTAAAGTCGCTTTCATCTGAGTCCCTCCAGCTCGGGAACGGTGCGCTCCATAAGCAAGCACAGGGGAGGTCGCCTGGCCCACCTGGGACGCGGCAGGTGACTTCCCACACGCACCTTCCAGAACTCCGATGGGGAGTCAGGCTAAGGCTCTTGCTATAAACACGAAAACCCAGGCTTCTGCAGAACCTATTTTATTAGTTCCATGTGTAACTTCGACCCACTGCTCCATAACTTTAAAATGATATGTGACTATGGAAAAGTGAATATGTTTTACTGACCTTGGAAATTAATAGTAAAAAAACCCCAAGAAATCATGATAATCTCACTGTTGCTTATGGAGGGAAGTAACTGATCAGTTGGGGAGGCAGTTGGCATTTTAAGAAACTGTAATTAAACTTTGAACAATATATCTCACTTTTTGTTCTTAGAATGGCCTAGACCAGGGGTGGGCAACCCCTGGCACGCGTGCCAAACATGGCACGCCAGTAACTTTTGCTGGCACGCGAAACACTCTCTTACAATCTTCCATTTACAATTTTTTTCTTAATATCGACTTTTTTATTTTTCAGATAAATTCAGTGTAGGTGCATCTTAGATAAATAAATAATTTTACATAATGTATACATTAAAAAATAATAGACATGGATTGATGAGAGAGGGGAAGAGCAATTTCTATGCCTCTGCCTTAACTCTCCATGCCTTCCTAGATCCGACCAGTGTTTTGGTTTCATTCACATATGCTTATGAATCTTTGTTCTCAGTGATGAATTTTGTTAAGTCTCATAAGAGGAGTAGCCTGATGGATGAAAGTAGTAGCTCGTGCATATCTCTGAAGGGCACGAAATATAAACCTGATATAAAATCTCTGTCATCAGTGATGCAGCAGCAAAAGTCCCACTGATAATATCAAACGGAGTCATAAAGGTTCCTGTCGGACTATCAGTGTACAGAGTTTGGACTATCAGTGTACATGTATACATTAAAAAATAAATGTATTTTTCATCATCATATACTGTGTTTTTGTCACTCGAATGAATTTTATTTCTTCAAGGTTCTTCACATATGCACACCTTAAGAGAGATCAAGTAGGCGTAACATGTTCTCAAAAAATTAGGGTTGGCACGCAGAAGAATTTTGAGTCAGAGATTTTGCTGGTTTTGGCACGCACTCACACAAAGGTTGCCCACCCCTGGCCTAGGCTTTGGCTGCATTAAACAATACATGCCATTTTACTAGAAATGGGGCTGTTATGTTTACAGAAAATCGGTTGGCAGGAGGTACCGAGGAGGAAGAGAGAGCTGTCCCCCCGGCCCCAATATGTACTTAGATGACGATGAAGAGTAGCCCATTTACAGCGTGTCTGCGTTATGCATTGTTATTAATTTTTGCTGGCTATTCTGTGCCAATAGTTCCCTTTCAAGTGCAGAGCTCCTCACACCAAAGCTCTCCACTCCCCAGAACACAGGTAATGACAGACCCTGAAAATCACACACTGCAGTCCCAAATAATGGCACCCACAGCGTGGTCCCTGGAAAAGCTCTAAGGCAGTGGTTCTCAACCTTCTGGCCCTTTAAATACAGTTCCTCATGTTGTGACCCAACCATAAAATTATTTTCGTTGCTACTTCATAACTGTCATGTTGCTACTGTTATGAATCATAATGTAAATATCTGATATGCAGGATGGTCTTAGGCGACCCTGTGAAAGGGTCATTCGACCGCCAAAGGGGTCGCGACCCACAGGTTGAGAACCGCTGCTCTAAGGCATCCTTTCATTTTTGTAGTTCTTTTTGTCCTCAGTGTGTTTCCCACGAGGGGTGACTTTCAAATGCCCACTCTTTAAAGCCACTTGGAATCGCTCTGGTTGGCCAGGCCGCCCACTGGATACACATTTGGTTCTTTTGTCTTATTTTATTTCTGGTATTTAAGGATGGTTTTTTAAAAGTCAACTCGTTTTACAAGTAAGCAGAATATTTGCATGGTTCCAGTCTATACAACAAAGGTGTGTTTCTATTCCAAGTCCTTCTACTCTCCATCCCCACAGGTACCCTTCAAAATACTTATGGCTGCCCTAGCTGGTGTGGATAGAGCATTGGACTGCAGACTGGAAGGTCCCGGGTTCGATTCCAGTCAAGGGCACGTGCTCGGGTTATGGGCTCAATCCCCAGTAGGGGGCATGCAGGAGGCAGCTGATCAATGATACTCTCTCATCATTGATGCTTCTGTCTCTCTCTCCCTCTCCCTTCCTCTCTGAAATCAATAAAAATAGATTTTTTAAAAAGAAAACAAACACTTGAAAAAAAAAGCCCCACCAAAATACTTATGGCTTAGTCTCTAAATGCTTACTTTTCAAATAGAAGCAGCCTAGATAGATAGATAGACAGATGGATATAAATATACAGATAGATAGTATATAGATGAGAGACAGAAAGACAGACACAGAGAGCTGGCTGCCTTCCCAGTTCTCGCCTGTCTTGGATAAACAATAATGTGCACGTGAACTCTCCTCCACATTACTCTGCTCACAGGGGCCTCTGTGATCGCTGCAGAGGTTGTGCTCTTGTTCATGGCTGCATAGTATTCCTTCATGTTGGTGAATGGTGATAACTCACTCAGTGCCCCATCAATGAAGATTGGGTTGCTTCCAATCTTCTGCTTTTACAAGTTTGTATGACATTTTAACAGAAACGGGGTTCCTTATGTACTTGCCTATAACTTGCTCTTTTGTGAATATAATTTGATGTTATTATATTTGTCCACGTTGGTAGGAAAATACAGCAGATGGGATTAATGGCAGATTAGATGTTTTCAGTGCCTCACTGAGAGCCCCCAAAAGTAGCCCGGACTGAAGGAAGAAGACAGTCAAGGCGGACACGCACACAGGACACGTGCAGGCACCGCTCTGAGGACACAGGACCTTATCCCCACAGCTCGGTGAAGCAGAACTTCCTCCTTCAACAGAGGAGAAACTGAGGCAAGAGAGCCCAGGGATGCTCTGGGGAGCCCTGGCTGCTACACCCTGCTGTCTGCTCCCAGCAGGCTGCGGCCCGGGGCTTTCACTGAGGCCTGGACTGAGAGGCGCAGGAGGGCAGGGCCATCGGTGACAAGGGCTGTGCCTGGCACAGAGCAGGTGCGCCACCAATATCTATCAAGTGACCGTGTGGTGGGGGCTCGGCTGGCTCACTGGTCGGGCCATCCTGCTTCCCCAGTGGCCACGGCTGCAGTTTCCACCCTCAGCCCACAGATGGCAGGTGGCCACGCCACGGGGCCGCTCCCTTGAGAATCTGGCAAAGCCACCAGGGTGTGTGTGAGAAGTACCCAACGAGAATTCCTTTCCAAATAGACATCTTGGGAAGAAAAGTCTTGGCTGGCGATGTGAGATGTGGAGCAGTGATAAGAGGGACCCCGCTGGCAGAGCAACAGGCAGGCAAGGTGCCCAGCCCTGGGATGGGGGCGGGGGCCCTGTGGTGGGACGGAGAGGGGAGGAAGGGGGGCCGGCCTTGTCCCAGGTGGGGTGGGAAGAGGAAGCCGTGAAAGCTGAGCCCTCCATACGCACCCCACCGACCTCCACACGCCTTGTTTTAAGATCATTTTAATTTAGCCCGTTCAGCCGCAGAGAGAGAAAACCTCATTTCTCTCTTGTTGTTGTCAGAGGACCTGTCCAGACAGGGCAAGACTCCTGCCCTAACTGCATTCACTGACCTTGAATAGCAGCATCAGCCGTCATTGTAGTGGCTTAGAAATGGCTTTTTAAAAAGAAAACAAAATGTAATATAAACTACAGGACAGCCTGCAAAAAGGCAAGTCTGCCAGTTTTGCCAATAAAATGACTGGCTGCTTTAGAACAGGGTTAAGGTGAAGCAGGGGGCCGTTAAGGCCCTGAATGAGACAGGACTCTCCAGAGAGACGGAACCAATAGGATGTGCGTGTGCTTATTTGTCTGTTTATTGTGAGGAATTCACTCATGTGGTTTCGGGGGCTGACAAGTCAAACCAGAGACCCCCAGGCCAGCGTTTCAGTGGGAAGGTCATCAGGCGGGAGGTGACACGGGAAGTTAACCAACACAGACCCCACATGAGCACATGGGTCAGCTGCAGGCAGCAGGCCAGGGGCCGAGCGGACACCGAGAAAGCCGGTCTCCTGCTTTTGGATAAAATAAGGGTCCTCATCACCGTGACAGGGATTGGTCCAGGTGGGTATACTAGTTTCCCGGGGCTGCCGCAGCCAAGTGCCACTAACTGGGTGGCTTAAACCAACAAGAATGTAATGTCCCACGACTCTAGAGGCCGGAAGTGTGAGATCCAGGTGTGGGCAGGGCCGTGCTCCCTCTGGAGGCTCCAGGGGAGAGCCCTGCCTGCCTCTCCCGGCTTCTGGCCGCTGCTGTCAGTCCTGGCGTTCTGTGTTTTGTAGCTGCGTCACTCCAGAGCCCGGGGATGGGGGTCTGCCATCACCACCACTCACCTCCTGGCCAGGGAGGGTAGCCAGCTGTTCCCAGTGGGCACTTCAAGTGGTCAGATCTTCCCCAGATGTTCTGTAAAAATAAACCAGGCCTTAGATAGTTTGGGTCAGTGGATAGAGCATCGGCCTCTAGTCTATAACAATAAAAGCATAATATGCTAATTAGACCAAACGACCTTCTGGACGAAGCCGGGGCTGCGAGGGAAGCCCGGGTCCCGGGTGCCCGAGGGAAGCTGGTGACAGTGGCTAGGGGAAGGAAGGCCTATTCTTGCACAAATTTTGTGCATCGGGCCTCTAGTATGGTAATGCTATGCTTCACTCTTTGAGGAAGTGCCGACTGTTTTCCCATAAACACTTTTTAAGTTGTTTAATCCTAACTAACTCAATAAAGGAAACTGTTGGGCATTCCTTTGGACCTAGGGACGCTGTGGGAAGATTACTGACATACCAAGGGTGCCCTGTGTGGGAGGGGGCATTTGGAAACCACTTACGGATCACTTGCTGTACCACCCAGGCACCATGGGGCGCTCTGGAGGCAACGCAAGCAGGCCTCTCCCTGGAGTAACTGAACCACCAGTGTTTTAAGGTGTCAGCAGAGAGGGGGTGGCATGGAGGTGGAGTGGATCGGCGCTGCTTTAGACAAGTCACCTGGGAAGCCAAGGTGAGGCAGTGACATTGAACAGGAAGAGGGAAAGACGGGTGGGACCTGCAGAGGAGTAGGGCCAGTGTCCCAGGAGGAAGAGCCGCGCGTGCAGAGGGTCTGAGAAGGAATATGCTTGGGTTTTGGAAGAACTAAAAGGCCAGTGTGGCTGGAACAGGGAAGGGGTGGGGGTGGTCAGTGATGAAGCTGGACAGGTGGGTGGGGTGGGGTCATACAAGCGCCTCCGCCCCCATGGGACCCAGAGTGGAGGAGCCAGGTATTAATCAGCAGCCCCCCAATGAACATGATGATACAACAAGCCCGTGCTCCTGGGCCTGTAACAGAGGAATTTGACTGAATCTGAGACTTCGGGGGTGGGGGGGAGACAGAGAGATGGGCTGAGTGGAAGCCGATCATCAGCTAAACTTTCCAGTCAGACAGGACAGCTTGTGCAAAGGCCCTGGGGAGCCTGAGTCAGAGGACCTGGGGGAAGCAGGGTGGGGAGGGGCGGCCCGGAAACCTACAGCAGCAGAGACGAGGGGATGAAGGCCGAGAGACAGGCCCATTTCATCCTGAATGCGGTCAGATCTGTGTTTGAACCAGGCTGGAAATGACTGACTTAGGCCAGGGGCAGGCATGTGAGATGGAGTCCAGAGAGAGATTCCAAAAAGGGAAGAGCTAGTGTCTTGGTGACCAGACCGGTGACATTTCTGCCAGGGAAGAGTACAAATTGAGGCCAACGCACCACATGTCTAAATGGTTGAAAGTTCTAAATCAAGTTTTTATATAATAAAAGCATAGTGTGCAAATTGTCCCCTCGTCTGGGAGGTCATCTGGGCGTTCGACCAGGGGGTGAGGCCAGCCGAGGGAAGGAAAGGAGACCCCAACCAGCGGTGGTGGCAGGTGGCTGGGGAAGGGAGGGAGTACCCAGCCTGCAGCCAGCAGCTGTTAGGGACCCTTCCAGTGCATGAATTTCATGCACTGAGCCTCTAGTGTTATATAAAATGCATTCTGTCCTCCTGTTTTGACAAACACAACCTCACAACAACTTGGGAGCCAGATTCCAACTGGAATTCTCAGACTCCAGGTCCACTGGTGGGCATCCCAGCTCCATGTGGCAGCTCCACCCAGGTCCCCTGCAAACGGCTTCCTCTGGCCACACCTTGGGCCTTGGGGAACTCACCCCAGCAGTGGGGTCACTGGATGACGAACCCATCGAGGGGTTGGAAGTTGGGCTGGGAATCCCAAGGTCACAGGTACCTAGAGCTCGATCCAGGACAGTGAGCACCTCTGGGCCCTGTGTGGATGGGTAGGACTAGACTGGAGCCCTGTGGAGTGTGGCCAGGGCAGGCCCGCCCCTTGTCCAGGTCTGGGTGGGGCTGTTGGCTGGATCTCATGGGATGGAGTGTTTATGAGGTACTGCAGATGCTTTGGGGTTCCTGGCCTTCAGAATAGAACATGGCTTATGCATAAAGATGGGGGGTGGTCTCTGGAAAGAACTAGTTTGGGGGTAAAAAGTATAGGCTCCTCTCACACATGCTGAGGGGCCGTTGAGACATCCATGTTGAATTCTGGGGTCTGGTGCTCAGAGGAGAGATCAGACCTGGAGATATAAATGTGGAGTCTTTGTTGAGTAGAGGGAAACTGAGGCAGTGGCCTGGACAAGACCACCCAGGGGCAGAGAGGAAGGCAGCAGGAGGGAGCAGGGGGCCTGGATTAAACACTCACAGACCAGGGCATGCAGATAGGGGCAGAGGACCTGTAGAGCTAAGTACCACTCGGCAAGCACCGCTTAATGCCCCTGTACAGCGCTACTGTAAAAGTAATTCAGCAAGCCCTGCTCAGTGCCACGCTGCCGAGACCGGAGCTTCCAGACGGGCGTCTCCGGGGCAGGGAGCAAATGACCTTACAGGAGACACCCAGGGAGGGCAGAGGGGGCAGGGGGGGCTCTCCCGCTGGGGCCCAAGAAGTGACGCTGAAAAGGAGGTTTGTGTTAAGTATTTGCTTGAGAAAAGCAGAAGGTGGAACCAGTCCTTCCAACACCCCAGCCCCAGCCCCACCCCACATCCTTGCTCCCCCAATACCAGGGGTGTTTCTGGAAATCCCGGCCAGGGACCAGGCTCCTGGTCCCCTCTTCTCCCAAGTCACTTTTTTCAGAATTAATGAGTGCAGACTCGCAGCATTGAACAAGGCATGTCCTTTGAGCAAATAACATTCAAATCATGCAGGGATTTCTCAAAAGCAGTCTAGCGAGTTGCAGCAGGAGCAGTCCTTCGAGGAGAGGGCTGGACCTGGGGGAGGGGAGAGCAGGAAGGGGCGAGGCCTGATGATGGGCGTGGCCTTAGGGGCGTGGCCTGCGGAGGGGGCGGGGCGAGAGCAGGCCGGCCTCCACCGCGCAGTCCGGTGGGGCTGATCCAGCGGGAGGACCAGGAGCACCGGCCTTATTACCGTCGGTCGGTCCTGGACTGGTTGCAGGACCTACGTGACCATCCGCCCAGAGGGCTGTGTGGGGGACGCGCTGCCCCGGGAACCCTGAAGAGGACAGATGGGTTTCCACTTCCCGCAGCAGCACACCCACCACAAGTGACAGATAACCCGCACTATTATCCCCGGGTGCACGCAAAGCGCGCCGTCTCCTCGGAGCCCACGCCATCCTGAGCAGGGACCCCAGGCCCCCCATTTCAGGGACCCCCTCCCCCCCAGGAGGGTCCTCGCTCCTGCCTTCTCCGTGGCCTGCGGGGTCGGTCGGGTCCCCACGCGGGGAGTAGGGGCTGCTCCCGCCTCGCGGGGCTCACAGGGCCAGCGCGCGGTGCTAGACGCTGCGTGGAAAGGGGCCGTCCGCTCGCAGCCGGCAGCCCGGAGGCTCGGACAGCACAGCGCCCATCGCGATGCGCTGTCCCAGGGCGCGAGGCCGGGGGAAGCGGATTTAGAAGTTATTAGGGAAAATGCCCGCAGAAGCCCCGGGGCTGGCATTTCCCTCTGCCGGGCCTCCCCTCCTCGCCCGCGCATCCCGCGGGGTCGCTGTCTCTCCTCTGAGCGTCTGGCCCCAACACACCTGGCCTCGAACCCCTTTGGTGACCCCATCTGTCCAACTACCTTGCACCGTCCACCCTGCACTTGTCAGACGTGGTCGCATTCATTCATCCTCACGATGGCCACCTCCCTCATCCGAGATTCAAAACTGGCACTATTTCCGAAACCGGTTTGGCTCAGTGGATAGAGCGTCGGCCCTGCGGACTGAAGGGTCCCGGGTTCGATTCCCGTCAGGGGCATGTACCTGGGTTGCGGGCACTTCCCCAGTGGGGGATGTGCAGAAGGCAGCTGATCGATGTTTCTAACTCTCTATTCCTCTCCCTTCCTTTCTGTAAAAAATCAATAAAATATATTTAAAAAAAAAACTGGCACTATTATTCACCTAATGTTTTTCTTTAACTGGGTCAACTTTTGTTTTTACCCAAAATGTATTAAAAGTGAAATTATGCTTTGATTAAAGGTTTCCATTAACACTAGTGAGCTCAATTACTTCAGAGAATATGAATGTTTACAAAATTATGTATAAGTTTCTTTGTTTATTAAGAAAATTGCTACAGCCTAGCTGCTTTGGCTCAGTGGATAGAGTGTTGGCCTGTGGACTGAAGGGCCCCAAGTTTGATTCCAGTCAAGGGCATGTGCCTTGGTTGCGGGCACATCCCCAGTAGAGGGGGTGCAGGAGGCAGCTGATTGATGTTTCTAACTCTCTATCCCTCTCCCTTCCTCTCTGTAAAAAATCAATAAAATATATCTTAAAAAAAAAGAAAATTGCTACAGCTTATTAAGATGGAAAATTCAATTTAATATCCAGTTTGTTTTATTTAGTATTCTGATAAGATTTATTGTATTTTAAAGCTAACATCGAAAGCTTTAAATTGTAATTTGTATGTGCATAATCTCATACATAAACTGCTGTTAAGGTTTATTTTTTTAAAAGGTTACAAATAGTAAAACATCGTCACTTCAAAAATGACAGATCTTGATATTTTGTGTCTTTTAAATTATTTCAACAAAGTTATTTGCTGTGTTCATTTTAAATCTTTTCACCTAGTTTGTCACTGCTGCTTGCGATGCTTTTATTATGTTAAATATTTGCACAACAAAATAAGACTAAATCTTTTCTTCTCTTTTGACACTTTAATCTCATAAATTAACATAACACCAAGAGTTCCTTGTCAACAATGGGCAGACATCTTCTATCTCTCCCTTGGGGTTTCTTAGATGGCCATGGAGTAACCATGAAAATTTAACCCCTGGAATTATAAAATAAATAATGCTAAAATAGTCATTAACATATTACCACTGGAAGTTACTTTTATACTTGGAAAATACACCTTACCTGCAATGACCATTAACCATTAGCATAAATAACATGGACTCTGCTATAATCCCAGAGGGGTTAGAACCCTGCTTGTCTTCACAGTCCTGCAAGAACTTCCTTTTCCTCCGAGAAATTAGAAAACTGACCTTCACAGCGGGCTGAGTGGTCCCGGTGAGGAACATGGCCAAGTCTGGAGGAGGGAGGGGCCTGGCCAGTCCACCCAGCCCTGACCGTGATCTTTGTCCGGTGACCTTTGTCCCCTCTCCGATGGCAGCTGTGGGCTGGCTCTGGAGGCCTCGGTATGTATATCTGGTTCCCTGGCCTCGGAGCCCAATGCTGAGCCTACAACACATAACTCATAAATAGTTTGTCAAGTGAAGCAGGCAGATGGTTAAATAAATGGAATTGGTGTGTCTTATTACGAGGCTGGTGTGCACTGTTAGTCACCTGTGCTTCTGAGACTGTGGAGTCTAGAGAAAAGTGCCCCAGCTGAATCCAGGAAACGGCTCACATGACTCATTTTCTCGTCAATTCATTTCCCCCCACCGAAATAATGACGTTTACTGTCAAGTTATTTTTATATACTCAAAATCCCGATGATTTTTAAAACGTTGGTTTAAATGTTGGTCCCATGTGCTACAAACAAGCTTGAGGTAACCATCAGGCGCTACAGTCTCAAGGAGATCCATTTTGATGCCCTGATTATGCGGAAAAGGATGTGGCAGCCTGTTCTTCCTGAAAGGCCTGGGAACAAGCCCTGCCCTGTTCCCACCAATGAGTACTCTCCAAAGGGAAGCCCCGTGGGGTGGGGAGGTCTGGCTGTGTACAGAGCAGAACTGGGGCTCCATTATTGGCTGTGAAATAAGATGATCATGTGTCCCATGGAAGGTAAGGGTTAGGACCAACCTCTGCTTTTCAGGTGACTAATGCAAAAATGCAGTCAATATCATTAGAATGCTCCCTCTTACTGCCCCATCCTGCCCTCATTATTCATTTCTGTTGGCTAAGAATAAGCGTTTGCTCACCGTACAGTCCTACAGGAATGAGTAGTTTTTAGCTGTGAAAGTTTGCAATCACACTTCTCGACCTCTGACCCAGATATCTTTTCAAGATTTGGGTATATTCAGGCTGAAATACCAAAGGTGGAAAAACATCTTTCCTTCTCAAGAGATTCGTTGTACATAAAAAAGACACTGTTTTCTAGGAAAGGATGGGGAACTCCTGCTGTCTTTGGAACATTAGATTTGCTGATGGGGTAATTTAAAAAAAAAAAGTTACTTCCAAAGTAAAAACTTGGGCATAAAAAAAAAAAAAGCAACACATGATTCCCCACGAATTCTGCTGAGTGGAAAAAGCCAGTTCCCCAAGGTCCCACACTTGATGACTTCTGTGTGCTAACGCAACATATTTTAAAATATCACATTTTTAGAAATAGAGGAAAGATTAGTGAGAGCTAGGGCTTGGGAGTTCAGTTATAAAGGGACCACCGGGGGTCCTTGCCTGATGGAATGTTCTTTGTAAAGACACGAACCTACTACGCAGGCGATAACAATGAATAGAAGTTAATACACGCAATGGAGGACGGGGTAATTTGGGGAAATTTTATTAAGATCGGTGGATTGTATCAAAGTCAGTATCTTGGTTATAATATACTTTTCCCCCTTTTTTACTGTTTTGCGAAGTGATAGCACTGGGGGGAAACACGGCAACTGAATTATTTCCCACCTCTTCCTGCACTTTCTAAAA